TTTCTTTGTTATCTCTGCTGACCAAGAATCTTTTCCGTTCCTTTAATAAATAATAACCTGCTCATAAATACTTATCTTTTAGCCGTTATCAATTTCTCTGTGTTATGCAATGTGTACAGAGCAATGAAGTGAAGATTCACTCCTGATAAAACTTCTGATGGCAACTCAACATGTTTTTTCCTCGTCAAAATGGGAAAACGCTGCTCCCTCGCTCACTTCATAGCAGATTTTTAAGTTGCATTTATCGTGGAGTTCTCACTATATTGCCGGATTTTTGCAGTGTTTCGTATTATTTGCTTTGATCGTTTTTGTGGTAAATCTGCATTTTCTAGCCTGAGAAATTGAAACAATTCTCATCCCCCAAAAAATCTAAATAACATTAATGAACATGAATATAAACATATATAGAGTACAGCAGAGTGGACAAAGACGTGGAAAACACAGCGTGGTCATACTGATCACTGATTGGCTGACGGATGGGAAGTGAACAACCAGGTGTGGGGACGGTTTGCAAAGTCTTAGAATAAGAATATCTCACAGAGTAAACATGGGGTCACTACATGGAGGATCGAAGGGAGTTCTGCTGTAGAAGAGGGACGTCTCTGACCACCAAAGCATGGAGCAGCACAGCTCCCGACAGCTGGAGATGGCTCCATCCATTCCTATATTTCCATTCCTTCCAGTATCTCCTCCCTGTGGGCGGGGTTTACCCATTAGATGGTATAAAGCTGACACACATGAGGCAAAGCCCTTTGCTCAACGTGGTTACTGTGTTAAATGAGTGGGCCTTTGGTTCAGAAGTTCATGAACATCATAAGTTTTAGGTGTTAACCCACATTCACATGACCGTGAAGTAGCTCTACGCCACCATGACGAACTACCCGACACGAGGCTGGAGCAGAAAAACTTGTGGGATAGTTTTGATGACTAAAAGCGATAGAAAAACCCAGAAAAATTAAGCCACACCGCTCGTAAAAGCACGCCGTTTCTAGGTGAAGCTGGAGGCTTTTTCTAGTGTTGATAATGCCTGATAATGTAGTGCAGTAAAACCATCGAGAGTCACAAGGTATTCGCGGTTATCTGTACATGGGCTGTTGGATGTGCTTGAACGTGAAGGAAAGCAGTTATTTCAGACGCCACCATTTAGACCGACTCCAAAAGGGCTTTGGTGTTACTCCCTTTTCTGTGGGGTCCTTTGCAAATGGATATTCCTCCCATCTCTGTCGTAGGTATCTCTGAATAAGACTGTAAAGAATATCCACGTTTAACGACGGCTGACGGATCAAGAGAGCCATTTACATTATGTAACCCAATGCTGAATAGGGATACATTTTTAAAAAAAAGGAACCAAAGCGATGACAAATCATTTCATGACATTTATGATTAGAAAATAGCAACAACAACAAAGAAAACACTAATACTAGAACCCAGAATTGTAATTACACTATTACTGGACTCGTAAACTCAAATCTCAATCAACTTTGTGGATGCTAAGCTTCTTTTTCCCCCGATTTGAATGCTTGTAGCTCTTTTTTTTGTCGTCTTAATCTGACAGATGAGGCTGTGGAGCAGGACACACCTGCTGGATGAGCCTCTGCTCGACTCTCACAGTGAGCAATAAATGAATGCGTCCTCAAACATCTGTTTGCCATTGATGCGCGATTGGGCTCCATGAGTCATTAGATGTGCTGGTGAGAAAACTACAACAGAACCCTTTTTGAGCCACATTAGCCAGGTTCTCAAACAGGGAAACAGCTGCCTTTAGGTGCAGCTAAAGCAAACATCTGCGGCTCTTTATCCCACCCTTCGTACTCATTATGATAAGTGTCTCTAAACCATCGTCTGCTGGATGTGGAAAATTGTACAATTGCCTGAAGTGCATTTGTGGGAATGCGTTTGTTTAGTGAAAACGCCGTCTTTGTGTGCGCTCTCTTTTGTGTCTCCTCTCCCAAACGGGCGCGTTGTGCGAGGCGACGTCTGGGCGCGACACCTCTAATCTGTGGGGCTGTGTGAGGACATCGTGGATGCGAGCGCTGGACGTTCAACACACTCCGATGGCCCTGCTGTTCAGCACGTCCTTTACCGGGAGGAAATGTTTAGCCAGCCTGAAGTGCAAAGGTTTGTGGTGCACTTGTATTACCTCAGGTGACGGGGTATGAGGATTAATGGTGGAACCGGGGGGCCGTGGTTTTTACCCGAGTCCTATCCAAAATTAGCATTTATGGTGGACATGGAGTTTCCAGATATCTGCGTCTTTTCGTGTTATTTAGTTAAATCACACCTTTCTTTTCACCTGTGTCCCAGTGGCAGCTTTGATGGGCTCCAGCCCCACCCCCCCCCCTGCAATGTGGCCCTACCAGGAATAAGACTTATCGTACAAGGAGGGCTGGAGAATTCTCTGAACTTGACTTTATGATGAAGGTGACAGGGCAGCCGTGGTGTAAATGGCCAGAAAGGCTCCGCTAATGTTACCGGGAATGGTTATCTACACTGCACTGCCACTGTGATGTGTCACAGGCCAACAAGTTAGCCCTGTGTAAACAACACATGGAAAAGGTCAAGTGCATCTGGAAAAACTTCAAACTGCCGCCACATGACTGACAAAATGTCCAGCTCCTCATAGCACAGAACTTCGAACAAATTCACGATTGAGTTAGAGGAAGCTGTGTTTCCATCCCAACCTATCTTCTAAAGGTTTGTGGATGGCATGTGTTCCTTTACTGAGATTCCCACAGCCAGCAGCTGCACAAGGAGCCGAGTACTCTGCACAAATAGGCGATTCTGGGGGTTCGGGCCCCGATTTGGCCGGCGTGTTCTGTTTCACGATTTCAGGCATTTGGAAGTTAATAAACATCAACATGTCTCCACACAGCCCACAAAAAACAGGAGAATTATCAAAAGGTCAAAGCAGATGTAAAAAAAAAGAAAAAGTGACACTCATTCCAAGAGTTTTAGGTTTTTCTTGGAGAGCATCACTGATACTCTGTCCGATATCCCTAACTAAACATTATTGTGTTCTGTCGGCGTAAGGCTGAACCTACAGGATATCTGCCACCTTGATGACGGGCTTTCCGCATGAAAAACTATGTGTTGCTACGAACAGAAAAACAATTTCCCAGGCAGACAGAAACCAGTGACCCTGTCAAACAGTAGAAGGAGAGGGGAGGACTGTTTTCAGAGCTGAATGTTCACAAAGATGAAGAACATGTGTGACTTTACCAGTGAACCCTGAGTGACTCCATGCAAAATGTTTCTTCATGTCCCTTTTTTTTGGCAGCCTCTGATGCAAAAACTGTCAGCTTTTGTCTAAATTTGCTATCTAATCATGCATAGATACAAAGAGTATTAACACATACTTTCTCCTGCTAAATCTACTGAATCACACCAATGAAAAAACCGCTCATTTGAAATGAGTTAGAATACAAAACAAATAAAAACCCTGTTGATTCTGACTGATTGTAAACTGCCGGAGGAAATGCACATACAGCTCAGGAAGATGGCTTATGCAGATTCCTTTCAGTTCTAAGAAAAACTTGAATGAATCGGTCACGGACAGCATAGCCAGGAAATGTCTTTTTAATTGGATTCCCAATTAAAAAGTACATAACTTGCCTGGTTCAAAGCAATGTCTTGTTTCTATCCTCTGCTTAAAACAACACCAGTATGGGGCTCTCAGAGTGTTGTTGCGGGAGTAGCCTATAAGATATTACAGCCTTTATAGTTCTGAATCTTGTTCTGCATCTGCTTGGCCTAAGTGGCAAAAAGCTGAGCGTCCACCATGGTCAACTGTTGCTTTATTTCTGTGTGTCTGATCGTACAGATATTTGAATCGATCTACTCCTTTCTTTTTTTTTTTCTTTCTTGTTGTTTTGTTCTGTTTTACTCTTATGTGTAGCCTGTGGAAAGACTAATACTGAGTGATTCCTAATCTGAAAACAGCAGCACACACAATGAGGTGAAAACAACTGCTGGAAATAGCATGACCCACACCAAGTGGACATACATTTTTAGTCCTCTTATCATTTCTCACAAAAGCTCCAAGGACGCACAAAAACAAAACAATGCGCGTGACCTGATGGCCCGGCATCCACTGCGGGACAGTGTGCTTTTTCTTTTTTAAAATACATTGTTGCCCACACATTGTCTGCACATAAATGCAGCCGGCCGCTTCTCGCCCACAATGTGCTGCACGCAACGCGATAGTCTAGACTTGGCGAGGGCCGACTTTGACATGCTGTCTGCCTGCTGCTTTTCCAGAGCTGATGGGAAACAAGAAACAGCGTGGCTTCGCCGCGTCCCCATTAGCCTGCGAATGTAAACAGCTCGGTTTTACACGGCCTGTAAATGTTTACCAGCAGAGGAAAAAAAGAAACACGCTCTGTTGGGGGACTGTTGACACGGCTCGCCATCACGGTGTCGCTGACTGCTACAGCCCAACGCAACTACAGGCCACATCACAGGCTCTGCTGCTGGCTGTGTTGTTATTCTGCAAACAGGAAGTGGAAGGGCCCTCGCGTTTCACTGATTATCTGCGATTTAACCCCCCACCCCCCCACCCCCTTCCTCTATTTTGAGAAGACACAGTTTCCAAGTTAATGTATAATGGCAAGATGCTTAACACGCCAAGTAGGCTGCATATGGAGATTCATTAGAAACACAGCAAACAGAGGTGTGGGGTTTAAAATGTATTCATTTAAAAAAAAGTCATTTGCTTTAAAGAAATCTAAATTATTAATGTTATTGAAATAGCATGCAGATGTTGTAAGTTTAGTGGTATCTTCATTATTATTATTTTTAATTGTAAGTTGTTTTTCTATCAGTTTTCTTTTGAAAAGGCACAACACGTGCAGTTTATTTTATTCTTATTTTCTAATTTGTGTAAGATTTCTGCGTGGAGCCTTCTGTCCAGTCATGTATCCGCCGCATACATGGTTGTTTTCCCTTGTATGCACATGTCCGGTGAGCGTGGCTGTGGATTATCTGTCGGCCTATTTTTGCCACTACAACAACAGACGTGGTCCGGCAGGCCGGGGTGGGGGGGGTGGTGGTAGGATGTGACCTACCTGCTCTCTGGATATGCAGGGCAGCGAAGGTCTGCGGGGCATTTTACAGCTGCCGTAATAGCTGGTCGACGTCTCTCCCAGGGAGACGCAGCTGGAGCGTCTCCGGGGCCGGATCACGGGCACCTTTTCGTCCGCGCCGGAAGTCCCGCCGGGCGCTTCCCTGCTCGGGTAGTAACGGTCGAAGCAGAGCCCCAACATGGAGCCCGAGACCCCCGCGAAGCAGGCCAACAGCGGTCTGAGCAGCGCGGGCAGACCGCTCAGACTCGTGAAGGAGACCAGCCACACCAGGCTGGCGAAGACCAGCACGAGGACGCTGTGTTTGAGTTTGAGCGTGGGCACGAGCGTGAGCAGACCCACGCATCCCAAAACGAATAACAACCTGCCCACCATTTGCATCTGGTGCTGGTCCTCTCCCCATTGTAAAAAGCGCAAAACCAGAAAATCCCCGAGGTAGCACGACGCCGGCAGGGAGACGAGCCAGCATTTGCTGCTCTCCTTCTTTTTCCTCCTCAGGTAAAAGGTCAGGAAGAAGAAAGCACATCCTATGCTGAAGAGGGGACTGATGGACTGGGAGAAGCCCGACAAAAAAGTCCGCAAATCCCACAGCGAGTCACTTTGCAAGCTCCTAGAAATGAGAAAGGAAAGCGCGAAAATAACGAACGCGCCGACGTAGAGGGCAGAGACCTTTAGCAGTTTCGAATTAAGCACGTCTTCGTTGCAAAACCTGCAAACGCCGAGCAAAAATCCCCTCTGGTTGTCCTGTTTTAGGGGGGTGACGCAGCTCTTCACATAGCCGTTCCTGAAGCCCTCTGAGCTGTTTACACTTCCAGCTCCGTCGTGGTGCCTTGTTTTACCGTGCAGGACCTCTCCTTCCTCCCGTGCGGCCATGGTTTCGAGTCTGGCTCCTAGTTTTCTTTCGCTAGAGTCCCCCTCCGCTACTATTCACGCCGTGTTAACGCTGAACTACATGACAGCGAACGCACTCCATGGTCACTCAAACGTGCTCCAGCACTTGGACTAAAGAAAGAAGGTGAGATGTTGTTTTTACAGAAACGGGGCTCTCTGTCGCCGCCTAGAGGCCGCGGATGGCTCCTCCACTCTTCGGGGCTTTGCAAAGGGGAGCCCGATCCGAGCCTGAGTCCCACACGATGTTACCAACACACTGCAGCCACTTTAAAAGAAATGGTTTATTTTGAATTTATAATCTGAATCTATATTTCATGGTTTATTCCAGAGTTTAGGTGTTTATAAGAGACTCAGTGCAGACAAAGATTACTTTGAAATTGAGCCAGTTACTCAACACAAATTGTGGGCTACTTTCAAATGTAAGATATTCCATTTGTTTTCTGTCAAAATAGGAAGACACTTCAAAACTGCATATTGTTCTTATGGTCAACAGCCAGAAAAATACATCTGTGTTGAAATGCAATGCAGCACAATAGTTTGATCTTTGCAAAAAAAAAAATTCTTTTTGCTTTCTAATGTCCAAAAATAATTTTCAGAATTTGAACTTTGTACTGGTGTGGACTATAGATGTCTTGGGTGTATTATTGTACACTTGTAATGGTGCTTTTCTTAGTGCTGCCAATCTTTTAAATGTTTCTTCTCATTAAAGAATTTTTGGAGGTATTTACTGAAAACTGATTGTAGTCAAATTGCCTTCGTCCATTTTCATATTCAATTCAATCGATAATTTAATTAAATCTTCAGTATCCAAAAATAACCTGTAAAAAAGTAAATATCAGTCAAGTCAGCCTTACTAAGAATGGCAAAATGACACACCAGTGTAAATAAAGGAAAAAGAGACTGTAAGAAATTAGCTTTACAATTAAAACAAAAAACATTTGCTGTACAGCTTTGTGTTTTTTTAGTAACAGTAGAAAACTCTTTCAATTTTGTATTCAAATATGCTCTTGACAATATAACGATGAAATTATACATGTTAAATGTCCTCTGAGATGATGATGACTCTTATTAAATTAAGTGCTACAAAACAGACATTTAATCAGGTTATCTACGATCGATTCAGGCAGTCATTGTTTTTTTTCTATTTTACTAAGCGACTAAAGTAACATTTACCTTCTGGAGATGAATTGGTCCCTTCGGTCAGTGTCGCCGCTGCATCGTGCTTCTCTGGGATCGATTAGCTCTCCTGAATGCGCTTGGAAAAGTAATCGATTGTGACCTCACTGATCAATGTAAACAAACAACGGGGAAGAAAGCTTGACAGGCACCAAGTTATCTAACAGCAAGAATACACCCCAAAAGTTGGCATAAATTCCCATTGTATTTCTATTTTACATTGTCTTAGTTTTTGTCTGTTTTATTTAAACAAAAAATTGACATGCCTGAATGTACGTGTGTGTGATTAAGGGTGAAAATGGATTATTTTGCATTTATACATATACAATACTCTATCGATTATTATAACTTGATTAATTCATTGATTAAAAATATTTAAGTTATGCCATGGATTGATTTATAAGTGTGAGTGTGTGTGGTTGTTCGTATTTTTGTGTCTCTGTGTGGCCCTGCGATGGACTGGGGCATCGTCCAGGCCGCAGAGTGTACATGTGCCTCTCGCCCACTGACCACTAGGATGGGCTCCAGATAGATGATTTTTGTTGTTTTCACAACAAGCACTAAATCTCAGTAATTTAGCTAAACTGTTCCTTCAGGTTGCATGTACATAACAGAAATTAATATACAAAGGGAAAACAAAAAAAAACATGTCATTAAATGCTCATTGCTGCACCTGCTCCAAATGCATGTCAGTTCAGGTGTGATACCGAAGCGCACCACCTGTGCTCCAATAGTGGCCGTTAGTCTTTGCCTTCCATGATACACCATCTGAATGTACATGGGGCTTCTTAATGTCCAACATCTCCAATCAGGCCAAAGCGTGAGTGAATGTCAATTGCTTAATTGCCCATGCAGCACACCTTCATCACAGTCATGACATTTGTTGTTCACAGGGTCTCATATTACTCATTTCTATGTAGCCAATAATTGGAACCTGAAAAACACGTTACCCAGTTCTATAATCGGAGAACAAGACATAGTGGGAACTCAGAAGGAGTTTTCTCTTCCTAAACTGTCAAAAAAGCAGTTTTGAAACACTCAGTTGGTTATAAAGAAAAGGAAAGGAAAAAGAGACAAGATGTGTTCAGTGGATAATTCAAATCAAGTCTAGTTTATTACCCTTAAGTCCAAGAGTTTCACTTCACAATAGGTAACAAACTCTACAATGATGCTGTTTGACTGAATATCTGCTTGAATCAGCTTGTCCCTGCAGACATTTCAGCATATCGCAGTAGGGGGAAAAGTACAAGGATAATTAATCAAATGAACAGTAACAGCACATGATTTAATTTGATCCACTCTGCACTGTGCGTACTTGGTTCATGGATTAAAAAAAATAAATCAAAAAGCGTCTCTAATATAATTTGTCTCACCTGACAGTTGTTTCCTGTAAAACGTTTGACAGAGGGAAAAAGGCAAATAATATTTGTCAATATATTAGATTTAATTTCAAACTGTGTCTGCTTTGAATTTAAATGTCTACAGCAACATATAGGAAACACACACAAATGTACATAGACAGGCAAATCAATGAGAGTCATCGTTTGAACTCTGCACTCTCAGCAATATCCACACAGAGAAATGCACATGTTTGGACACCACCTCTGTAAAAACCAGGCAACTACAAGATGACCTGATTTCCAAACAGTATAAAATTAAAGCTGACATATTCATTCTCCTACATGAGCTCCATCTTCTACAGTATAGAATTTCCACAAACAAGAAAACAGCCCACGGCAGATGTTAGGATGCACAATATGATTGGACATCTTAAAATAGTTTTGAAGCCATTCGTAGTCCTTCAGTATTTCCCCCCCCCCCATACTATTTCTGCAAATTCAGAGATTCGTGAATATCCTACAGCCACTCTTTTTAGATCTGCCCGTACATTAGTGATTATGTTACATTCAGCACTACCCTCTTCTGGTCGTCCATTTGGGAATTTGACTGTATCATCTCTGTGGTATATCTACTAGGGTTGAATTTCCACTGGAGGGTGCTAACACATCGCTTTTTTCCGTTCTGATAGATTTTATTACTGAGATATTTCAAATTTTGTTCACCCATGTAATCTTTGCTTGATTTTATAATCCAGGGACCAAGTGTGAAGAGGACTGAGGCCGAATCGACTGATAACCCAATCAACTGTGAAATTAAATTTATTCATACCATATTCTTCTCAGGGCTATATTTGGTAACAAAAAGTGTGAGAGAAAGGCTCAGTCTCACTGTTCTTTATCTTGTGTTAGCTGCTAAATGGCTTTAGCTGAATTTTTAAAAGGTTTTTGAAAATGAAATGGGAATAAGACAAGATTGAGTAGAAATTATATGTATGCTTCTGAAATCTTTTGGAGTATGTAATTAGAAAGAATATTGGTGAAACTTAAGAGACCATATATCCAGGGTCCAGGGTCCAAAAACATAGAGATAACCCACATTCATGATCAAATCACCACCTAATTTGTTTTTATTTAATCCAGATATGTAAAAAAAAAAAAAAAAAATATATATGTATATGTATGTATGTGTGTGTGTGAGACTTCCAGATAACATTGCTACATTTGTTTGTCTGTTCTGTTTTTTCTAATAATTTAAGGTGTATTTACGTCATGTGAACGATTGTGTCTTCTAAGATTGTTCAGAATAAACTTGTGCCAAGCTGAATTGTCAGACACGTTCAGAATCGTGGGCTGTTGTTACTGAGGAAGTATTTGTTGCGCGTTTGAGCCTCACGGGGCACGGTAGTACTGATGTGGCTCTGAAAGTAATCTTCCACGTCACTAGGAAGTGGTGGAGATCCAAGAGGGATAGCTCGCCAAAGGGAGCCCTTCTAAATTCTTTGCACAGGTTAATACCTGATCTGGATCTTTCTGATAATCTGGGGGGACGATAGTCGTACATTTAGGTGAGTATGGCAGCTGAGTTTTTTCCAATTTGGCTGATATTTTGTTCGCTTAACGAGAAGTCATTTAGCTAACGTTACTGTCCTCCATTTCATTGCAACCCAGGGCAAAAGCCTAGCTAGTGTGGGCTAACTGCGGCTAGCTAGCAGCTGAGCTTAGAAGACAAATGAATAATAACAGCTATATAGGAGACTAACTAGCTGATTTTAACACTTTAGCAAGGGTTTTCTCCTCATGTTTGCGCTGTATACTTGTAACTTCGTTTTGTTTTGGCACGAAGACGATCATTTCAACATGTTGTAGCTACGTGACAGTTGCTCACAATTGCTTTAACTTAATACTGTTGCTGCTTATATTGTCACTGTATTTGTTTTTCTGTGTTTTTGTGACGAGTTTTGTGTAATTTTACCAGAAAATACAGCAAACCCTGTACTATATATATATATATTATCTGAATACAGACGATTGCATGATGATAACAGCTTTAAATTAGTTAAAAGTTGCAGACTTATGGGGTTGAAAATTGTCTCACCATGTTTTTAGGAGTTTATTTATCCTCTACTCAGAGATGAGTTCAACAGCAACACAAACAGGAAATTCTTCTGTTGGAATATTACTTTTCAGTTTCAATTGTATCAACCTTATGATTAAGACTTGGACAAGATTTTACTGTAGTTTGTTTTTCAAAGCTGCTGGTTGAGAAATAAAGACAAAAACACCATTAGTCGTGGGAATTCTGGCTCTGTAATGTGTTTGTTGATCAAATTTTGTCCAGTTTCTATCGACTAATATCCAACGGATTAACTGACCTCATACTGTATTTATGCTCATATGTAAATTTATTTTGTATGGTTTCCAAATCTTACTGATTTCTTTTGTGTTTTGCAGAGGTATTCGACTGGTATTCTTCTAAAAGGACACAAGCAGAGCAGCAAAATGACAGCTGCGGAAAACGTTTGTTACACTCTGATCAATGTCACCTCTGACTCAGAGCCACCATCTGAAGTCAGCCTAAAAGCAGATCTTGGTAAAAAGCCTTTAAAAAATTATATCTCTCTCGCTAATCTCTTAGCAGATGTCATAATTACCCATAATAAACCTTTCATCGGGGAGAAATGAATTTCCAGGCATTCTATCGTGATCAAATTTAAATGAATCAACCACATAACATTTAACCAAACAAAAAACTTTCAGAATAGTCACAAACGATTATCTGTGGGTGAACTGGGAAGCTTGACACAGAGTTGACTAATGGATTCTTTATCAAAGTACAAAAGTAATCTTTTACTACTTTAGGAAATTTCTGATGCATGTGGTGAAGAAAAGTTGGTGTTATGAATTAATAATTGACAACGATCTTTGTGCAGAGAAAGGAGAGATAAAAGCAAAGACCGAAGCCCTGAAGAAGGTCATAATCATGATCCTGAATGGCGAGAAGTTGCCAGGACTGCTGATGACCATAATTCGCTTCGTGCTGCCACTTCAAGACCACACCATTAAGAAGCTGCTGCTGGTTTTCTGGGAAATTGTCCCCAAAACAACTCCAGACGGCAAGCTGCTTCAGGAGATGATTCTGGTGTGCGATGCCTACAGAAAGGTAGGCACTTACAGTTTTTCAATGTCTGAATGAAAGAATCTTGAAAAGCTCACCAAATGTTTTTTTATAATCTTTTATATATCTGAGGGCCATGATGAACCTTGTTTTTATGACTAAGGAATATATTGCAGTAGTTGTTTTTTTAACTAATAGGAAACATTTATCCTATGTCTTATTTTTGTCAACAGAATGTTCCAAATAAATTCTGAATTTCTTTAAATTGGTGGCTCACTGACAAAGTCTCCTCAGAAATGCAGATGGTGCACATAGTAAAATAAACAGCACTAGTTCTATGTTCAGCATAAATTTGTCCAGAAACCAGTGATGGATATTTTTAGGTCTGGTATATTGAATTTAATCTTGGAGCAAAACTACTGGATGAAAAAAGACACAGACTGCATTGATCAGTCTTTAGTGTGAAAATCACCCATCCGTCATCTGTTCAAACCAGGACCTGCAACATCCCAATGAGTTCATCCGTGGCTCCACCCTCCGTTTCCTCTGCAAGCTGAAGGAGTCTGAGCTGCTGGAGCCCCTCATGCCGGCCATCCGGGCCTGCCTGGAGCACCGCCACAGCTACGTGCGGCGCAACGCCGTTCTGGCCATTTACACCATCTATAGGTAACACATCCACACAGAAGCTGGGCCGTTTAAGACACAGCCCACACTCAAATCATTTGTGACCCAGAGTGGTCTTTTTGTTTCAGGAACTTTGAGCATCTCATCCCAGATGCTCCAGAGTTGATCCATGATTTTCTTGTAAATGAGAAAGACGCCAGCTGTAAGAGAAACGCCTTTATGATGCTGATCCATGCAGATCAGGTCTGGAGCTAATCGCCACATTGTGCTTCACTCACTGTCTTAACCTGTTCTCGGAGGCTTAAACTACTTTCTCTTGCAGGATCGAGCTCTGGATTACCTCAGCACATGTATCGACCAAGTTCACACTTTTGGCGACATCCTGCAGCTGGTCATTGTGGAGCTGATTTACAAAGTGAGTCCAGGCCTGTGTTTGTCTAACTTAGGCTTCGAGGCGCACGCACAAACGTCGTGAACAGGTTCAAGATCTCAATTCTTTCTCAGGTTTGTCACGCAAACCCTTCGGAGCGAGCCCGTTTCATCCGTTGCATCTACAACCTGCTGCAGTCCTCCAGCCCGGCTGTAAAGTACGAGGCTGCCGGCACCCTCGTGACCCTCTCCAGCGCCCCTACAGCCATAAAGGTACATTAGTACAATCTTACAAGAGGTTTCTGTTTCGCACTGCAAGAATTCTGCAACGGTGTCCTGAATGTTGTGATTCCTGTGACTCCAGGCTGCTGCACAGTGCTACATTGATTTGATCATAAAGGAGAGCGACAACAACGTGAAGCTGATCGTTCTTGATCGTCTGATCGAACTGAAGGAGCATCCTACTCACGAGCGTGTGTTGCAGGTCAGTTGAATTCTTAACCAAAATGCTTCTAGTTTTGGCTCCGCCTTAAACATTTACAGGACAAAAAGTAGTGCTTGTCGTCATGTTAGGATGGTGTTTGTTATGTAAGATTTCCGTATATAAATATTCAAAATTTGAAGATACAGAATAGGATCATGTCTGTTCAAGCTGTGTTTGCTCACCATTCCTGTTTTTCTGCAGGACCTCGTGATGGACATCCTGCGTGTGCTCAGCACTCCAGACCTGGAAGTTAGAAAGAAGACCTTGCAGCTCGCTCTGGATCTCGTCTCTTCTCGCAACGTAGAAGAGGTCCGTCGCCGTGTTTTTTACGGCATTTCTCTCTCTCTTCTGTAACACATCGCAGATATACTGATGTCCGTCTGTTTTCCAGTTGGTGATTGTTTTGAAGAAAGAGGTGATCAAGACAAACAACGTGACGGAACACGAGGACACTGATAAGTACAGGCAGCTCCTGGTGCGCACCCTCCACTCATGCAGCGTCCGCTTCCCCGACATGGCAGCTAATGTCATACCTGTGGTGAGTGTCCTTTTTTTCCTCTCTTTTGCGGGGGAAAAAAAAGTTTTATCAACAGAGTCCCAGTTATTAAAGTTGGGAAGTTATTTTTTAATGTGTTGGTTTGATTTTCAGCTGATGGAATTCCTGAGTGACACTAATGAGGCAGCTGCTGCCGACGTGCTGGAGTTTGTGCGGGAGGCCATTCAGAGGTTTGACAACTTGAGACCCCTGATCATCGAGAAGATGCTGGAAGTGTTTCATGCCATCAAAACTGTCAAGTAAGGCTTTATCATGTGGATAATATAAAATTAGAGATGATGTAAACCATTAGAAATTAAACTAAATTTTCCGCTAGCCACATTTAGGTGATGCAGGATTAGGAATCACTGTATACTATGGTCACATGTCTCCCTGTTTCAGGATTTACCGGGGAGCCCTTTGGATCTTAGGAGAATACTGCAGCACCAAGGAGGACATTCAGAGTGTTATGACAGAAGTGCGCAGGTCTTTGGGAGAGGTGGGTTTTGCTCACCATTTTCATCATCAAATGCAACAGAAGCTTCCTGGTCAGTTCCAGATATCTCACACACATCTCTCACTTGGACAGATCCCAATCGTAGACAACGAGATCAAGAAAGAGACGGGCGAGACCAAACCAGAGGACGAAGTGAGCGCAGCCCCAGCGCAGAAGCTGGTGACGGAGATGGGCACCTACGTGACTCAGAGTGCCCTGAGCTCCTCCAGGCCTTCAAAGAAAGAAGAGGACAGGTTAGCGTTCATTTGCTGGAAGAATGCAACCATTAGCCCTTTTATCCCGGTGGTGACATAGATTTATTTTTTGTATCGGTTTGTTTGAATAGACCTCCACTCAGAGGCTTCCTGATGGATGGAGACTTCTATGTGGCAGCTTCCTTGGCCACCACGCTAACCAAAGTGGCCCTGCGCTACGTTGCACTTGTTCAAGACAAGAAGAAGCAAAATGTAAGTTATCCTGTCTTCACTGAAGACACTGACACTGAAACGCACCTCTTTAATTGTTTAAACTCTGACGGCTTCCCTGACGGCTGCTCTCTCTGCAGTCCTTCGTTGCAGAGGCCATGCTCATAATGGTCACTGTGCTGCATCTGGGCAAGTCCTCCCTGCCAAAGAAGCCAATCACAGACGACGACGTGGACCGCATCTCGCTGTGCCTGAAGGTCCTGTCAGAGTGCTCGCCGCTCATGAACGATATCTTCAACAAGGAGTGCCGCAAATCCCTGTCACATATGCTGACAGTCAGACTGGAGGAGGAGAAGCTGTCACAGAAGGTAACGACGGCCCACTCACAGGACTGAGCTCACTGTTTGACATCCTGTGACATATTCTGAAAGCCAACATTCTTCTTATTGCTGATATGTTTGTGTGAGTGTAAGGCCTTAAGAATTTATAGTACACCGATGACTGACGGTACCGGGGCACCATTTAAAGCTTCGGTACACACAAAATACCCATGGAAATGTTTACATGGGAACATTACTGTGTCAAAGTTGTGCTTTAAAAACTGAATGAGGACTTATCGTTTCCATTTTTATTCTGACTACAGAAAGAATCTGAGAAGCGGAATGTGACGGTCCAGGCAGACGATCCAATCTCCTTCATGCAGCTCACAGCAAAAAATGAGATGGCCTCTAAGGAGGACCAGTTTCAGCTTAGCCTGCTGGCTGCTATGGGCAACACTCAGCGGAAAGAGGCTGCTGACCCTCTGGCATCAAAACTCAACAAGGTACACCTCGAGCCCAGCGGAAAACCTGAAACGAGACGCTGTTTTTTTAGCTGGCAGATCAGCTCCGCTGAAAGATTAAAAGGATTTCACTGTTTTGAAAACTCGCCCTATCGTTGTTGCAAAAACATGTTTGACGCTGGCATTTGGGCTCCCAGGATGATGCAGATCTTCCTTTTTGAACATGCTTATATTTTTAAAATAGTTGGCAAAAGCATGGTTTTATCGAGATTTTGTGTTTTTATTCAACTTTGTTCCGTGCTCATCTTTAGAATAAATCTGTGCTTTTGTCCTTTTTCATACACACACTCTGCAAAAAATGGATTTAGTTGGATTTGATAGTTTGAATACTCTGCTTTAGGGGGAATATTTGTTTAGTTGCTCTACTAATGGCAATTTAGGGTAATGGCTTTTTTTTTGGTCCAAACTAGGTGACCCAGCTGACCGGTTTCTCTGACCCAGTGTACGCTGAAGCTTATGTTCATGTCAACCAGTACGACATTGTGCTGGACGTCCTGGTGGTCAACCAGACCAGCGACACTCTGCAGAACTGCACTCTGGAGCTGGCCACTTTAGGTTAGTCTGACTTATTTTCCACCCCATTTGGCAGATGAGCAGGGTGGTCTCTCATCAACCGACCGAAACACGTCTGTGAACATTTGTGTCGCCATCTTTCATTAAACTGATCTTTTCCACCCGTCAGGGGATCTGAAGTTGGTTGAAAAGCCATCTCCTCTGACTCTGGCCCCTCACGATTTTGCAAACATCAAGGCTAATGTCAAGGTGGCTTCCACTGAGAACGGCATTATATTTGGAAACATTGGTAAGAACTTTTTATCCAAGAAACGTCAGGGTTTAACTCAAAAGTTCATTATTGTCTGAATGATGATTTGATTCCTTCCTCTCAGTCTACGATGTGTCAGGCGCTGCGAGCGACAGAAACTGTGTTGTCCTCAGCGACATCCACATCGACATCATGGACTACATTCAGCCTGCTTCCTGCACAGATGCAGAATTCAGACAGATGTGGGCAGAGTTTGAATGGGAAAACAAGGTGGGACGCGTGTTTGTGTGGTATTCCCAGCTTCTGGAAACTGCAATGTCAACTAATGTTCGGCAAATACAAATGCTGAAAGGCGGGAGAAGGGTGATCGTTGATGAGTGTTAACATCTTTTTATCGCAGGTGACGGTGAACACAAACATCACTGATCTGAACGAGTACCTCCAGCATATCCTCAGGTCCACCAACATGAAGTGCCTGACCCCCGAAAAGGTCTGCATGATGAGTTATAAAAATCTAAGTTTGATCATCAAATTAATTTTTTGAAATTATGATAACTGTTTACTTTTTGTCGCAATTTATCTTATCTGGTTTAATTTTTAATAATGAAAATTCACATAGTGACGATGAGTGTGGTCAAACAATGCTGTGGAATCAATTTAGGGTCCTTTTGTCTCACAAACCAGGCTCTCTCTGGCTTCTGTGGATTCATGGCCGCCAACCTTTACGCTCGTTCTATCTTTGGAGAAGACGCCCTGGCTAATGTCAGCATCGAGAAGCCAATCCACCTGGGGCCCGACGCACCCGTCAACGGACACATACGCATTAGAGCCAAAAGTCAGGTGGGTCACAGCTGCTGCACAGTGAACTCCTACCAGTCTCAGAGGTGACGCCAGGGCCGAATGGAAGCTCCTTAAATACAAGCGGTGCGGGAGGTTTTTGTGAAGCAACACATGAATTAAATCATTCACTGGAAGAGAAAGGCTTATATATGTTTATTTTTGATAGACAAACAAGTAAAAATGTGTTAGAATTTGGTGCTAAAATGTAAGCGGTGTTGTAAACAGTCCTCCCTCCTTCCACAGGGAATGGCCCTGAGCCTGGGGGACAAGATCAACCTCTCTCAGAAAAAGTCAAACATGTGAAGCGACTGCCCTTCTCCGTCTCTCCCGTCTTCTCACAGCCTTTCCATCACCGTAAATTAAGAAGTCACTATCTTCAGCTGCTTCTGTTCCCTCTTATTCTTTTTTTTTTTCTTTTTTACATCTCCTTCTCAAAGTTACACTTCAGAAAGATCTCTATCTGTCCTGTTTCATTTTCAATAAACATGTATCTGTATATTAAAATGACCAATTACTTTTTTTTCCCCATACGTATGTGAACCCACTGTGTGTGCCGTCTCTTAAAAATTCCAAGGGAAGATGTTTTGTGGCTCATTTCAAAGGATTGTTACAACTGCCCAGAGGTGCTCGTGCCCTTTAAGTGATGGGACTCTACGTCCAGCTTCATATCTCAAAGCGCTAATTAGAATTCCTCACATTCCTCCCGAGATATCTCGCACAGTGTGAAACCGATTGGAATTTGTTCTGTCACTACCCCCGAACTGACTAAACACACACATGGCCAAGGCAAGCAAGCCTTCTTTAACCACGGATAATACATCACAGGCATTGCTCGCCCTCTCATGAGTCATCATTAAGCTCCATAATGAGACGAAGAGGGGTTTGTGTTAATGTTCCACTTGCCCTCCCGTTTAGAATGGAAGCGAAGAGCGACATTTCTGGGAACTGGCCAGACTGAGAGGGGGTCACAACCCCAGTCATACTTTTACAGTATCTGGAGAATCTGCCGCTCCAGGGGGGGTTTAGATAAAGACGGAAAGGTGGCTTTGAGGTCAGAGCTTCAGCTGTGAAAATAAACTGAGGAGTGTCTGGCAGCTATGTGACAGTCCAGCTACTGCGTGGGGCGTGTTGATTCACAGTGGAAATCACACGTGGCAAGTGTGATGGTAGTAGGGGTACAGTAGTGTAAGGTAAATGTGTTTATCTAGGCAATGATCAGGACAAAGATACTCTTTCTAACGGGTGATCTTTAAGTTGCTCATTGACTTTCATGATCACTAGATATTTGCAAGCGAGAGCCAAAGGACATCTGCCTTGTACCTGTGTGCTTTTGTGTCATAGGCCTCAGGAAGGGTTGTCGTATTTTTGTCCACCGAAGCCGGAGCTTTGTTCATCAAAACCCAACAAAGGAGGTTGAACTAACTGTCACCAAACCGTTCATGTGCAAACGCAAACCGAAGATAACCGGTGTGACTATTTCTCGTCCGCCTCCAGTCACTGGATGGCGCCACAGGCATCAAAGCTGAGAGGAGACATTCAACACAGTTAAACACAGTGAAGATCATCCACATGATTTGTTAGAACATGATTCACATGACAACATACAAGCAGCGCTTTTAGACACTTAAGCAAAGTCTGCCACATTAGGTTGAATGGTTTTGGTACTGGTGAGCAACTGAACTGCAGATTTTTTAGAACGGTTGTGGCACCACATACTTAGAAAGTAATCCTCATAACAAGCCTACGCTGAAGTGCTGAATACTCCATTCTATGGATGATAGGAATGGCCTGTATTTGCAAAGTGTGGCTGCAACCTAAACTGAAAGTGATCGTAATGACATCATTCTTCTGATACTTCAGTACATAAGTGGCTTGGAGTGGTCATAGTCCATGTAATATGTGTGTAAGCCTGGACAGAATATATCCAAGAGGCAGTTATTCCCAACCTTTTCGAGTATCGGCCATTAAGAATAATGAGGTTTCAGGTGCTCCTGCATGGACATTCCATTGCTCTGAAACACACCTACACACACACAAATCTATGCTTAATTTTTTTTTGCAACATGTACAGGTGTGACCTGCAGCTCAATCTCTAGAATTAAATCTACATTAATCCTATTTCTTAGCTCACCTTTGTGGGACAATGGCATGGCTGAACATCACGGGAGAAAATCAAGTGAAAATAAATGATCCTGAAAAATACGTAGAAAAGATCTTTACGAAAGTTGGTAATATAGAAAATGATTGCTTGGAATCATTTGTGCTCAGCTGATTCAGAAATAAAAACAATGGGCCATAGTTGTACTGATGAGCTGGTTTTTTAGACTGAGTGGAGGGGAAACCAACTCAAATACACACTTTAAATTGCTGGGGATTTGAATTATACCTGGAGGCCATGTTTTTCACGACGAGAAAATACAGTTATTGCACCGAGGAGACAGACCGAGGGCAGGAATGTGACTGCGGGGTACAAGATATTAGTCTCAGCACTAGGCTCCGGAGAGGAGAGGGCTGAGTGTGAGTTTGTGGTGGTGGCGGAGGTGGTGGGAGGTGTTGAGGCAGTCTCAAACAGCCTGTAGAAGGGCCCCTAGCGCCAGACATTAGCAGTGGCCTGGCTCATTACTCCCCACTATCGGAGCCACATCTCGAGCGGGCGCAGTGTGGTCGAGACTGGAAGGAAGGCGGCTAGGCGTATGGACAGGCGGCCGTAGCTCCCCCGGATCCTTTCTCTGCCCCACACTACCCCGTGCCGAAGAAAAAAAAACAAAAAAACGGACTACGCCGACGAGTCATTTCGGCACGTAACCGGGCTCCGTGTCTGCGTCCCTGTGTCTCTCCAACCGCAGGGCCTCTGCTTCGGTTGACTGGGGAAAGTGGGTGTTTGCTGCTCACTAGTGTTCCGGCGGCGGCGCGAAGTGTCCTCGATGGCTGGCTGGAAGGACGGCTCGGTTCAGGAGAAGTACCGGCTGGTCGTGGTCGGAGGCGGAGGCGTCGGAAAATCAGCCCTGACCATCCAGTTTATTCAGGTTAGTCAAAGCGGCAAAGCCTCCGCGAATTAAGCCTTTGGTTTGATTTTTTTTTTTTGCTTGTCGGCGTAACGGACGGGAGAGGCCAGACCCTGGGAGCCCGAAGTAAGCGGATACCGGGCTCCTTTCCCCCCCCCTCCGTAGTTTGCCGAGGCCTATACGAGTATTTGTTCAAAGATTTCAGGAAGATGTGGGAGACATTCAACGGCTGTCACTCTAAAGCGACAATTTCCGAGAGAGCCACTTCCACTTTGCAGTTTTCAGAGCCGATAGTCAAACGATAGAGGAAAGTAGGTCTGCTTTGCTCTCGAGTTGTCCTATTTAACCAACTTGGTCTGAAAAAGTGGAGGATTTATGGTCCGTTCTAAGTGAACGGCCTACCAAGCCGGGCAACTTTTAGACTAAAGGTGTAAAAACCATTTGAAGAGCGCAAAAGTTTTCACAGATATCACAGTAGTCCGAAATCCGGCAGATTAGCGCAGCATAACTTCGGAAAAGCTACCAAACCGCTCGAAATTGGACCAATTAAGGTTTAAGTGTCCGCACGTTCGGCTGTGGTCTGCCATTCTTTCTTTCCTCTTTCGGCAAGACGGCTCCAAACCCGGTGAGGCTGCCAGATTTGGTAACATTTAGGGTTAGTGGACGTGTGCCAGTTTTGGCTCAGGTTCCGCCATTTCCACCTTATTTGGACCAGCAGCGCCGGCGGCAGCCCTGTTTGAGTCGCACGACTCGGAGCGGGACCAGCGTCCTTGGGGCAGAGTTACATGTTCGCCCATTGCTAGAACCGGGACAGTGCGGTGCCCAAACGTCTCTGGACCAGGCTAAGGGAAATACCTTTGGGGTGAACTGGCTATTTAAAAAAAAAAGAAAACAACAACGACAACAAAAAAAGCTGCCTGCCCGGGGACAAAGTGTTCATTGAAAGATGATTAATTTTTGAGTTCAACATACAGACTTTCACCAGCTGCTGGCTAACCTCATTCTGAGATTCCTCAGAAACCAAAGACTGAAAAGCACATGGATACAAATCTCATTAGAGCTAAAAGTTCCACCTCCCAGGAAAAGAAAGGTGACCGTACACATATATATATATATTAAACCAGCCCACTTAAAGTCTCATCAGTGTCATGTATTAAAGGCATGTAAACAGTTTACCTCCCTCTATCCCTGGTTACATTCCAGCAGACTGCAGACATAGCCTGCTTTACTTTGAACCTCCTGGCTTACATTGTAGTCGCTAAGGAGTAGGCTCCTTTCCGAGAAGCCCCCCCTACACACACGCACACACACTCATTTGCATATGCTCTGCATGAAAGAAACGACAAACTTTGCCCTTTGCTTTAGCTGCTCCCCCTGCGTGTCAGCGTGCTACTACTGATGCTGACTCCAGCCTCCAGAAGACTAGACTGCAGGCAGCTGCATGTCTCCACACTTCACACAAAGTCAGACAATAGCCGACTGGCACACGTTACAGAGAGTGGGGGTGAAAAGCTCATGAGTGTGGGTGAGAGTTGGTTGGGGGGGGGGTGGAGTTATGTCTAATGAGGGTTCAGAAAGCTCATTAACTGCATACCAAGTAAGGAGGGATCGGATAGCCGTGGCACAGATTTTCGCCGTAGCCTGCTGACCTGAAGTAAAGGACCATTTAAAGCCAGCACAACACGCACTGAGGACCTTCCACTTGATTTAACATGCCAACCCAGAGACAACAGAAGAACAGATATGGCCACAGTGAATTCTGGGTAAATCTTGCCTATTACTCACGATTCAAAACCTTTATTTGTCCCCGAGGGGTGATTGATTTTGCTGCAGTAGCAATAAAAAAAACAGTAAACAACAATAATGACGTCAGCAAGGTTGACGTACACAAGACGGCAGTTGCATGAAATCAAATACAAATAAATAAAATCATAAATGAATAAAAAAAGGCAAACTTGAATTGGAGGGGAATCATGACTATGCGACCTAAGCTGGTGGTCGTCTGAGGCGGGAACCGGAGTGCAGGACCTCAAACTCGAGTGCGGGGGGTGAGTTGTGTCAGACATGATCCAGTTTGCCTTCTTCAAAAGCTGGTTATTGTACAGTTCTGATAGGGTTTTTCTTAATATTGTTTATCGGAATCGTCTCACAAATGACTCTGCCAGTAAGCAGGAGGAAGAGCAGGTCATGTTTGCTGTCTGGAGGATGAGATCCAAACAGAGATTTAGCATTAAAGCTTCAGACATCTCTTGTTAGAACGGTTGACAGATGTAGCAACCAGTTGAAGAGCTTGTTCTCGAAGTGTAAGAGTAAATTCAGTTCAACACATCCCAGTCTCTTTGTTTGAACAGTTGTCGCATTTAGCATCCGTCATAGATTTGGGAAATCATTACAAAAGATGATTGTTTATTCCTGTCGCAGCTGACTGGCTGTCATGGAAGTTAGATTGATTCGGAGTCTATCAGATAAGAACTACTGCTCTAAAGTTTTTTAGAAGTCGCCTGCCAGAGGAAAAAGACCTAACGGCTGGTTGTGAAGTCAAGGTATTCCCCAGAAGTATGCTGAATGCTGGGTGGTTGCAAAGTTGGGGGGTGTGGGGGGGTCGGAGTCAACCTGGGTGGGTTAATGGTCATGGACCATTTGGAATTTGGCCCTTTGGCAAAGGAAGTCCCTCTACGGCTGCTCTTAGGACCTCCTAGTTTTGTATGGAAAAATATGACCTGCTTCCTGAATCACTGGAAGTTGTGTGTGCTTGTTACTGTGTATGTGTGTTCGTTTTGAAGGAGTAGGCTGTTGGACTCGGTGTGTTTTGCCAGAAATACATAGAAGTACTGAATGCGAATGTCACAGAGGACTGTAGCAGTATTACTGTTACTACCCAAGCTATGAAATGTAATACTTTTTACAATCCAGACCAGGCCTCATGCAACTGCTGCTGAAAATAAAGCAGCACCATGCAGGTTTCCAAAGGCAGATGAATTTGTCACATTCATTTCCATTAACCTAGATAAACGACTATTGTCTTCCTGCTCTTTTCCTCGGCGTCCGTTTTATAGCTTTAACTTTTCAACTTCTAATACTTGACCTGTACATTTGGATGAATTTCTGGACATTAAAATCACCGGGCATGATAAACACCAAAAAAAAGACAAAAAAAAGGCCGTAACACAAAAGTAAGTTTGTATGATCATAGAACAAAAGCTGTTAAAGAAGCCACAAATCTAAACTTGCAGTGGTCTAACTAGAACTGGGGAACACAGTAAGCATGGCCAGTAGTGAGGTGTGCCTCACTGCCTTCAGCCTCGGCGCCCACAATTAATTATCCTCTCCCTGGTGCTCATTAGTAATAATTACTGCCAGTTTGTAGACTGTGACCATCTGAATGTCCTAAACTTCACTCTCATCGTTCAAGCCTCAGTGGCCTCTAAACTAGTGAACACCTGAGGAGGTTTTGGGTTCCAGTACAAATATTTCAGGTCAGCGAGATCCTACTTGTGAGCAGCAGGTCCTGTGTTGTCTGGAGATATTAACTATAAAGACATTAAACAGATTCTTACTTTAATAAGCTTCCCACTGAGCAATTTTCACATATCAGTTTTGGCATTTTGGCAAAATGAGGATGTCTTTGTCGGCTCTGCCCTCTCTCTCTTGTGTAATACGTACATGCCCGGCAGAGGCGGATTAGCCCCATATCGGTATGTGCTCCTACATGCCAAGCTGGCACTGCCATCCAGCTAAGTAACAGTGCTTTCTGCTGAGCTGTTGTAAGACAGTTCGTAATCTCTTTATATTCTTTCAGCAAGTGTGTTTGTAAATAGGCTTCTGATCATATTTTGGCCATTGTCACAGTTTTCCCAGACTGTCCGGATGTAAATGTAAAAAAAGAAGGCTTTTCCCAAAGTTTGGTTATCTAAAAGGATGTACTTATGCCATCTGGTGTCATTTTTTGCTTTTTTTTTCCGTGTCGGAACGCAGGAATGTTTCAAGTAGATTCTAATCAGACATGTTAATATTTCAATATTGAAACCTCTGTGGTTTAGATCGGTCTGCTGTCCCATACCTCTCTATTGTTAGCTCTGTCATGCTTTAGTCAAAATCCAGCGCCTCAACGTGTTGTGCTGATCTTTGCAGAAGACAAAAAAAGAAAAACGGAGTGCTGAAGCAGGTATTTTTGGGAGTGGGGATGAAAGATGATGTCGCAGGCAGAAACGGAGTGGCAGGTCCCCGGAGCCGGCGGGCCTCCTTAATGCCAAACAGTTGACTCCAGTTGAAATAGCATCAGGATGACATAGCATTGAGTCATCTGACAAACTTTTTGAACACAGTGTGTTGTTTAATGTGACGTCCTTTGGGGAGGAAGTATCCCAAGGGAGGGAAAACATTACTCACGCTGGCCATGTGAAGATTGCGTGTGGGGTGGTGTGCACGTCTGTTGGACGTCTCTGCTTTTGACCCAGCAATAAAAAAAAAAAGAAGTTCAAGAAAAAAAGATGTAAAGAGTGCTCTGTGTATCCAAAGTAACCCAGAAAGCCGCTGACATGAGAGCGCTGGTCGGGGTGATCCCAGAGCGTTTGCAGGCTCGCATGCCTGCTGCTACTAGTGTGCTGTCGGCCCTCGGCGATGGAGACTCACGCACGAGAGCAAAACATCCTGCCTGATCAAGTCCAGGCAGATTGGAGGATTTTTGGGAACCTCAGCTGGATTCGCAGCTAAAGGTCACATGGGATCGCGTTTCTCTCTCTCTCTCCACCCTCTCTGAACTCGTACATCGCATATTTCCTCTCATGGCTTTGAGGTCACTGGGGGTAATGCTGCCAAAAGTTGCATTTGAAACGAATAAACAGGGAGCCGAAGCACAGCCTTCCATGGGCATGTGGAGACAGGCGGTTGACAGAGGCGTTTGTGCAAAGCGCGAAGGTGTGGTTGTGTAGTTTCGTGTGCGTTTCTGGTAAAGAGACGCAGGTGGGATCGCAGTGTGTGCAGCATTCTTTGCAGTTCGATGTATGACTTGACGTGCCTTT